AATTAGCAAATAATTAATTATTTATAATTAAATATAATTAATTAAAAATAATTAAAATTAGCATGATTAATTATAATTAAATCAAATTAATTATAACTAATATTATTTTTAATTAATTATATATAAAATAACAATAATTTAAAATCCCTATAATCCCTAAAATCTTCTCGGTCGACGGATTTAGGGGATTTGGCCGTGGAAGCCTAGGCAAGGGAGAAAGTTACCTTCACTGTCGGCGAGCTACTGCTCTCGACTCTGATCAAAATGTCGTAACTTTCGATTCAACAGGAAGGGAATGCTGTCGAATGAGGGAAGTCGGACAACCAAAAGGAGTCGAAGAAGTGTACGCAAAGGAGAAAGGAACCTTCACTGCGGGCGAGCTCCCTGTGCGGCTTCCGATCAAAATGTTGGCATTTCCGGTTCGACAGGCAAGGAAAGTCGTCGACAGAGCAAAGTCGAACGGTGACTGAGGAGTCGAAGAAGCCGCGCGAAAGGGAGAAGCTTATCTTCACAGCCGGCGAGCTCTTGTTGCTGCTCCCGATTAAAATGTCGTAACTTTCGATCCTTCTGGAAGGGAAAGTCGAGGAAGGAGCGGCGTCAAACAGCACGGAGGGAGCCGAAGAAGCAACGCGAGCTCTTGTTGTTGCTCCCGAACAAAATGTCGTAACTTCCGATCCAACGGAGAGGGAGGTCCGTTGGAGGAGCGATCGAACTGCAACAAAGGAGTTGGAGAAGTGACGCCAAAGGGAGGAAGTTAACTTCACGCCAATTAGCTCATGTTGTTGCTTCCGATCCGACGAGTAGGGAAGATCGTCGAAGCTACGAAGTCGAACAGCAAAGGGATCGGAGAAGCACGCGAGAGGGAAAAATGAGAGGAGAAAACTGAGAGCCTCGTCTCCTCCGATATTATCGGCGTATTAGTGAAACCGAAGTTAGATAGGCTTTAAAGAAAATGAAGTGCATAAAAGTTGTTGTACCTGATGATATTACAATAGAGGTGTGTAAATGCTTATTAGATGAAAGAATTTTTTTGGCTTATTGAACTTTAATATTATTTTAAAGATTAAAAAGTTGTCAGATGAGTTGAAAATAAGAATGTTGATTCCTATTTTTAAAAATAAAAGTGATGCACAAGATTGTGTGAATTATAAAGGAATTAAGTTAATGTGTCATACTTTAAAACTATGGGAGAGAGTTATGGAGCATAGGTTATGGCATGTACTAATGTTTCTCAAAATCAATTTGGATTCATGCAGGGTATGTCTACTATGGAAGCTATACATTTATTGAGTGGTTTGATGGAGAAGTATAGAGAGAATAAAGAGGATCTATATATGATATTTATTGATTAAGAAAAAGCTAGGATAAAGTTCTAAGAGAAGTGCTTTGGAGGGTTCTAGAAAAAGAAGTGGTTAATAATGCTTATACTTAAGTCATTAAGGATATGTATGTAAGGGTTGTTACTTGTGTTCAAACAAAAGGTGGTTTGACCAAGTATTTTCTTATTTCAATTAGATTACATCAAGGATCAACCTTAAGCCCATATCTTTTTGCTTTAGTCATAGATGTTCTCACTAGACATTTGCAAGAGGTTGTATGGTTTATGCTTTTTGCTAATGTTATTCTTCTTGTTGATAAGATTAGAGAGGTTGTTGAAGGTATGCTTGAATTATGGAGGTCAACCTTAGAGTCTAAATGTCTTCGTTTGAGTAATCTAAAACAGAATAAATAGAGTGTAATTTTAATAGTAATAGATCTAGTGGGGGGATTGTGACTTTGGACGACCAAGTCATTAATAGAATAAAAGTACACGTTTTAGATATCTTGGTTGTATTGTTCAGAGTAATGGTGAAATAGATGTAGATATTATTAATAGAATTCAAGTTGATGATTGAAGTGGAGAAATGCATGAGGCTCGTTGTGTGATTAAAAAGTCCTCAAACTTAAGGGAAAATTCTATAAGATGGTGTTGAGACCTATAATGTTTTATGGTACAGAATATTGGCTATTAAAAGAGAAGCATAATATTAATTGTTGCAGAGATGAGAATGCTGAGGTGGATGAGTGGCTTTACTTTTAGAGACAGAATATGGAATGAGCATAAATTCGAAAAGGTTGGAGTAGCTCCAGTGCAAGATAAGATTTGAGAGAGTCGTCTTAGATGGTTTGGTCACATAAAACAGCGGCCTTCTGATGACCTAGTTAGGATAGTAGATTTATTAAATTTGGCTTATGTTAAGGAAGGTAGAGGTAGACTTAAAAAAACTTGGTTAGAAAATATTAGAAATGACCTTTTTTTTATTAGATTTAAATGAGAATTTGACTCTTAACAGGGAGAAATTATTTTGTGCGGAGTATGGACGGGAAGAATCGTCTGGATTGATGCATATTTACCAAGTATTTGCTGAGTATTTAAATACTCAGTAAATCATAAAATACTCAGCGAATAATCACAAAATACTCAACAAATACTAAAAAAATACTCAGTAATACTCACAACTGAGTATTTGCAAATATGCAGAAAATACTTAGTAAATATGCAACAAATATGGACGATTCTCAACTTTCGGACTCCGCATGTAATAATTTCTTCTTAACATAACACAATGGAGAAAAAAGATTCATGTAGGCGACCCTACGTAGTGGGTTAAAGGCTTAATGTTGTTGCTATTGTTGTGTCATTTTTTTGTTGTAGTTGCAGCAGAGATTGTTTTTAGCCGAAGACCTTTTCCCTTCTTTAGGAAAATAGTATGTAGCAAATAAGTTCATATCCTTAGTATTCAATGGTTGTCATGGAAAATATTTTAGAGATTAGAACATCAAGCATTACTGTTCTTCTTCTTTCTTTGAATTATATTAGAGGAAATCTCATTTAGTGATGTTAGATTTTGTATGCTTTAGATTGGAACATCCTTTTCTTTTTACAAATTACTTGAGAATTACCGCATCATCGTTGCATGTCATCTTGAGATCTTGATAATAATTCAATTTAAGTAAATAAATTAAAGTATTCAATAATATGAACATTACCTTGTTGGTTAAAATCTTAGTTTTGATCATGTAGATGAGGCAAAATTCTTCAGTATGTTTGTTTAACGTCGTCCCAAATTGCTTTTGCGGTGGAGAGAAAAATATATGGTCCACTGATTTCAACCATCATGATATTTCACAACTATATTATGATCATGTAATTTGTTTCATCCTAAAGTATACATTTTGATTCTCTCAACTTTGAAGGAGTATGCACAAGATGGATTTTTTTTTTCTTTCGTTTTGAAAAGGTCTTTACAATTTGGGCACTATTAAATAATTTCTCCCATTTGGATGACATGAGGCTCGTAGCTCTTAGAGTTATCATTTGGTCTGATTTTCACCATTCATGATAGTCAATTCCTTGCAAGAGAAGTCAAGTAACTAGTCTTTATGATGAGAAGGAAGAATCTCACAAAAAGGTGAAAGCAAAAAGAACAAAGGTTGGAAACAAAAACCCTAACTTTGCTCTAATTCCATATAGAAAAGTAGAAAAAATTAATATTTCATTGCTAAATTCTATACAAAATGTTGAAGTACTTATTGACTTATCCAAAAGGCTTGCAATAGAAATAAATCACAGCTATTTACAAAAAAAATCCCCAAAAAGGGCCGACAACTAGAAAAGGTAACGGAGGCACACCGATTACAATTTAAGAGCCATAAGAGGATCATCCCAATGATTAGAACTCTTAATCTGCATGGTCAAGGATCCCTATTAGAATTGGTTAACTTGTGGATCTCATGATCCTTCAACACACCAATATGAGCAACTAGTTCTAGAAGCTAAATGATCTTGAACATGAATTTCCATGCATTGCCTTATAAATGTGATGATTTCCAGACTCTGCTATGACATCTGAATCATCATAATTTTTTTTTCATCTTAATGTACAAATATCATAAACAATGTGCTGCCATGGTTGGAAAAACTCAGAAGGCTGAAGTAAACTCATAAGAAAGTAATTCATATGGCTTCAGCTCCTTCCCTACATCGTCCATGTACATCCTCCCATTTGTAACCAGTATAACTAAATCGACATGAAAACTATCATCCCCCTTAACATACAATTCAGCATTCCAATTAACAACTTCTGTAGAAAAGAATCTCTTAGTTTTTCCTAATTAATATAATTGATCAGCTTTATGGATTTTTAATTGCCACTTCTAACTGCTGCATTTTTGCTTCAGTTCTTTGTTTAGCTAACATTTTATGAGCAATCTATGAACCATTTCAATCTATTAAATGGTGATTGTTCATTGAAGTTGGAGCAAACCAATACTTGTTGCATGGGGGGCATCTGACAAGTATTTGCCCATTTCTGAAGCTGAGGCATTTCAGAAAACTAATCCTGAAGCCATCCAGCTTAAGGTGATAGAAGGAGCTGGTCATATGCCACAAGAGGACTGGTAATTGAATATGATCTACTTTTATTAGTGCACATTCTACCAAAATAGCTTAGCTGTTAATCTTTGATTTATCTTTTGGTAACAGGCCTGAGAAGGTTGTTGAAGCTCTTAGAAGGTTTCTGTGAATAAAGCCACAAATGACTCTTATTGAGATTTTGCCTATTATTGAACAATTTGCTCTATGACCAGCTCTTGCTTATCTATATTATACTATCTTGAAGATGGGACAGTTCATGGAGATTTTGAGTTTGTAAGTGAAACAGACAAATCTCATTTCTCTCGGCCACTCTCTCTTTCAACCATCTCACCACCATTGCCTCATGTAAGCTAAAGCTTTTACAAAAATATGTATAAAATATAATTTGCATATCTATATTATACTGTGTCCTATAACTTGAAATGATGGTTGAAATTAGAATGGAAAGTCATTCGATCCTAATTCAAAATTTTATTCAAATTTTTGTTCGAATTCGGTTCGAACTTTTATTTGAATATGATTTGAATTAATAATTTAACCTTGGTTTGTATTATAGCTCTTGCACCAATTAACTCGCATCACGAACTCTTTCTTTTTCAAACATCACTGAATCCTTTGTTGCCCCACCTCCCAATGAGAAATTATTTTGTGCGAATACCGGACAGTCTGGATATCAACCACAACACATCACATCATACGGTATTTAGCGGTACACAACACTAGTACCGAGCAAAAAAATGGACGGCGTCCGGTTTCCGCACATAATAATTTATCCCTCACAACAAGTTCTTGCCACAAACTATTCTTCTTGTTCATATGTTGATGGTCTTAATGATCAAATTTGATATTGATTTAAACCTTCATTTGGTAAAATGTACCTTATTTGTGCTTGCATTTTAACTAACAGCGTCTCCTTAACTAGGATTTGTCATATTTAAACTAAAAAAAAAATAAAAATTAGTTTTTAATATTAATTTTTCTTTAATGTCTTGGCAATTTGGTGAAAGCATCGGCCGGACCTTGGCCTGGGAAGATGAAGAAAAGTTCTTCATGGTTTGAATTAATAATCAAATCTTGATCAGAAAATGATCTGAATAAAAACTATAGTCAAAGCAATTTTTTAATATAAAAATTTTTAGTTAAAAAAGCCACCTTAAAAATAATAATAAAACTATCCCGAATGAAGCCTTTATATCAAGAGAAATTTTCATATATACTATAACTATGTAATACCTCCAGTAAACTTTTTCAATAATTAAATTAATCAAAATTTTCTTTGGACCAAAAATCTTTTAATTTACAATGCATCTTTAACATTTTGGAGGAAAAAAATTATATAATAGATAGGATTATAAACATGATATAAATGAAGTATTTAGAAGTTAAAATGTTTAAATGGATTTTTGTACATGTTTGATTATAATATTAACATGAATGCTTAGATTATAAAATAACATTTAAACTACTAAGCGAGTTCATTAATATATTAGGAAGACTTTTAATTTTTTTATATATTAGAAAGATATATATATTGGGAATATTGCTGAAATTATTTTAAGAAAACTCGTGACTTTAAGAAGAATAATACAAATAATAATGAGATCCAAACATGGTGAATAAAAGGAGAGAGAAGCAAGATGGCAGAAGAGCAATGGGAGAACCATTAGTCTTGAGAGTAGAGTTGGGATCATCTTAATCGTAGCAACGTTTGGGCCATTGCAGGCATCGGTTGTTGGGTTGCATATATGCCACCGTAAAGCTCGTAACAAAAATAATATCATTGTCAAATCTACGGGTTGTAAATGGCTCGAGCCAAGCTAAAGTCACCCCTAATTTGAACTTTGATTAATTAATTAAACTCGAGCTTTATTTTATGAGTTCAAGCCAGCCGGCTTATTTATTATGAAAGAGAAAAAAAATAAATATGATTCAAATAAATATTATAATAAAATAATAAAAAAATGATATTAGAAAAGAATGATTTAATATAAAAAGTAATATATAATTTTATTTTTTTCAATAATTGTCCTTAAAATTTTGATTGCTAATATATTTTAAGATTAGTTTATATTAATATTTTTTAATCGAGCAGGCCCTTGAGCTAGCAAGTCAATCGTGACTGACTCAAGTTTGTATCATTAACTCATCAAGCTCGACTCATAAATCATTTTTTGAGTCGAGCCCGAGTTGACTCACTAGACAGCTTGACTCACTTACTCCTACCCGGTCTTAAAGGTGAGGGGGATACAGAGGAGTAGAGCACAAAAGAAGAATCTTGAAGCATCACTTGCCTGCATGTCACAAGCAAAATTGGGCAAAGGAGAATAATGCAAAAGCTTGAACTTGAGCAGTTAGAAACATTACAGCGAAAATCTTGAAAACCTGTAGCAAGAACGCTTTAGAACTACCAAACCAAAAGGGCAGTCAATGAGGTTGAAACTTAACTGTCCTAAAACCATTTATCCATTCAGAAATAACCATCTGCACACTCAACGGCCAATAATTTTTGAATTTCCATCTCTTTAGTTTGTAAGCCACCAACAATTTAACCTTTTGCATGAGAGAAAAAGTCTCCCATTTTAGCTATCCAAATAATATACACTAGAATTGAACAAAAATGAGTGAACAGCTGTAGCCAATAATGCTGAATGCAGAGACAGTTCAATGAGGAAGAAAGAACCATCAGGAAGCAACTCGTTAAGCACAGTAAAGGAAAGGTTGCATTCGAAGAACAGATGCTTATGGATTTCTTGAGATGCGTCACAAAGATAGCAAACTCCATTCACGTTTAAGCCCTTGGAAACGAACTTATTTGAAGTCTGAAGGCTGTTTAAGCCCTTGGAAACGAGCTTATTTGAAGTCTTCAAGCCTTCAGAATAGGCTAACCGGCAATATAAAGAGAACTTCCAAAAGATAGTTTCCACCAACCTATGGTTCATGAAATAAAGATATATTATTGCCATTACCAATACAGAATAAGAGCAGAAGATACCAAAAGCGAGAGCTTTCTTCATCGAGGAGAAAGTCTTCAAAGTTGACCACCCCATAAAGACGCATAGTTCCTTAGGCACTAGGAAGAGTAGAATGATTCAAGAGGAGAATGTGCAGCTTCGTAGAATGACCTTGATGTAGGACTAAATGCTTTTAAATGGATGAAATAAGAATATTACACGATTCCTTGATTAGAACAATAAAGATGAAACCATTGGTAATTAAAAGGACAAAATAAAACAAGAGAATGGTGCCTAAGCTTAGGCCAAGCCACTTGCTAAACACTTGGAAAATCAAAATAACTTAGAAATTCAACAGCATGCTAAATAAGTAGAATTCAACAACATCCCTAATCAAACAATAAGATTAGAAGCAAATAAAGCGCACTCAATCCCTACGTTTACTAAGCTCAGCAGAGTTCGGTGAACACGATCTTCATGAATCTATCAAATCACAAAAACACGTTAGACAATGAAAATAAGAGAGAAGGGAGATTGGTAAACCCTTATCACGGTTGAGTTGCAATCTTCCACTGAACGGTGCCAAGTTGTTCATCAATGGCCTTGACAAGGGTATTTAGAATGCGCTCTACGTACCCTTAGACGGTGTTTTCGATGAGCGGGTTGACGTCGAAAAAGGTTGAGTGAAGGATGCAAACAAACCCTTGTTCGTCGTATGAGAGACTGTAATCAAGATCTGGATCGGCCATGCATGGCCTATGGAGGTTGAGATGTCGAAGACGATCGTTGATACTTCCCTTGAAGACTCCTCTTGAGATGGAGGAGATAATCTAGAGAAATCAAGAGGGGAAAGGGAAAAAAGGTGGCCGGCCAATGATGAGAGCAAGGGTAAGAGATTTGATTCAGATTTTGGGAGAGGAGATGGAGGGAATTCTAATTCAACACTTCCTAATTATCCTCTTAATTGAAAATAATTAAAGGAAGAGAGAAAGGGAGAGGAGGGGGCAAGAGAGAGGTGAGGATAAGGGATTTGTTTCGAAATTCTAATGCTAGAATTTGGAAAGTATTTAAGAGTTGTGGGCTTTTGAAAATTTCGGCCAAAGAGGGAGTATGAGAATTGGAATTATTTTCAAAGTGGAGAATTGCATTTTAGTAAAGAATTCCTATTCCAATCCTATAGGGGTCGGCGGCAACAATGGGGTTTATGGCAAGTGTTTAATGATTGCTTTAATTTGGGAACTTAAATTAAATCCCCTTTAATCAAATATTGATTTGAGGATGAGGTTTAAAACTTTCCTAAAATAGATTTTGTATTTTAGGAAAGATTTTGAATTTCAAATCACTTGGATTTGAATTCAAAATTAATCCTAATTTTATTCAATCTAAATTAGGAAATAAGGAGAAAAAAAAAGTGGGGCGGGGGGACTCAAAGGGGGCTGGCAGCTTTGGTGTGGACGTGGAGGGGACGGACAAGGGGAAGGGGGAATTGGATGGGAGGGGTGGGGATCAATGTGGCCAGCAGTTTGGTGGTGAGAAAAAGGAGGAGGTTGGAAGGTGGCCGGCGGCTTGATACGAAGGAAACAAAAAAATAGATAAAAGATAGAACCACGAACCCGGCCTTCTCCAAGGTTAGTGGGTGATCCAACTTCCCTCTCCAAGGGTCCTCACTCCAATCTTTCAAGCTCTCACGAGAACTCAAACGAAGAGAAGAAATTTTATCATTCAATCATTCATTAGCTTTAGAAGAACATGACGGGTATAAATAGCCTCGTACAAAAGACTCAAGAGATAAAAGGACGACAATGCCCCTAGGGCTTACATACGATCTCCCTTAAAAAAAGGGTAAAATGGGAAAACAAATAAACATAAATAATAAAAGCTACATAACATAATAAAAGAAAACAAATACATGAAATGACTCAAAAATACATAGACTCGATCGTGGTCGTAGATCGACGGCCACGCCTCTAATATACTTTCCATGTTCTGATGTCCCCATCAGACCTCCATCAAAGAACATACAAGTAAAGGAAGTAGTTTTGGTAATAGCACATTTAGAAATGGAAAATGAGCTTAGATAGTAGGAGAAGAGACTATTAAAAGAGGAATGAATGAATTGTTGGAATTTTCCTGACAAAGAAAGACATTTGTATTTTTAACTCGCCAACCAACCATTAATTTCATCTAAAGGAGGTAGGCAGTTCATAATTTTGAATTTGCTAGTCTAGAGAAGAATCCCTAAATAAGTCCCATATATCTTTCAAATAGAGATATATTTATTTTCAAAGTTTTAAAGGTAGCCTTGCCCATCACTAAAAGAACAGCAACAAATAGTAGGCGAGAATTAGGCCACTTGACATTGACCATAAGATGAAAAAGGCCTTTAGCCACCTCATAAACTTAAAGAGAGGAAAATGCATCCATGATAACCTTGAATAAAAAAAGGGATAAAAGATAGACATGCCTGAGCACATTGGTGGAGAGAAGGCATCCATTATTTGAAATAATTTT